TCCACTGTGAAAGCACGACGTCACGAGGCACTATTACAAGTGCGGTGAATGCGAAGAGCGCGGGGAAGTGCAGCTCCGATCCTGCACTTGGATTTGAAGGTACAAGCCCTCGTAGCAGCCATTCTCAACTGGGGTGCCTGGAGATGCTTTCAAGGGTGCCGCACAAGGTTAGCCCTGCTAACTTTGCAAAGAGGATTCACCAGATAAACCCAGGGATTTCAAATCAGAACCACGGTGTTTAAAAACCTTCGGTCCTGCTTTGGACTTACTGAGTTCTCTGACTGACTCTAGTATTTTCCTGTAATTAAAAAATGAGTGAAAAGCAAGAGCTGGCATTTTCTGTGGGGTGTCTTGAGCCTAACTACTGCCTTACAGGGTGGCATTGCTCTCAGTCAGGCCCCAATTCAGGGCTGCAAATTCACACGGGAACCCAACTGCACACAGCAGACCATAACCCAGCTCTTGGTGTCCAGCACTTTATCACAGACTCATAGACAACGAGGGTGGAAGCGAGCTCAGGAGGTCACATCTAGTCCAGCCCCTGCTCCAAGCAGGACCAGCCCCAACTACATCATCCCAGCCAACTGTCTAGTTGGGTCTTCAACACCTCCAAGGATGGAGACTGCACCACCTCTCTGGGGAACCTTTTCCAGTGCTTCACCACCCTCCAAGTGACAGAGTTTGTCCTAATATCCAACCTCAACTTCCCTTGCTGCAACTGGATCCCACTGCTCCTTCTTCTGAAACCAAACCTTATCCCCAAACCAAACACAGAAGGACCACAAACTGACACCAGGCTCCTCCAGTGTTGGGACGCAGAGGCGTTCAGGCCTGGGTCTGACCTTTGCGCTTAGCTCAAGCTCCATGCTTAGCTTGAATTGTGCTCGAGACATGCACCCGGTGAAAAGAGCAGATGGAAAAATGCTGTCCCTTGCCTGTCCTAGACCCATTATAGCATCATAGGGACGCAACACCAGCGGGTGGGGGAATCTGAGCCCAGTTCAGGACTTCCCCTAGATCTCAGGGGAGAGCTGAGCATGGGATGGTTCCTACCTCAAATCACATTAGGAGACTGAATTTTTATGTTCCTACCAGCCAAACTCTGGTTTGAGTTTTTGGCCTGTCCATGCTCCAAACAAAGCTTCAGGCGTGGAAAAGTTTATGAACGGGCCATGCTCCAATTTAAGGGCAGCATCACTCTAGTGCCAAAGGTACCGACCCCGGGGCCCGGTTGCTGACTTGCTTTTGGTGCGAACCAAACTGCTTTGGGTGTCACACACCAAACGGGGAGTCGATGACAAATCCAGAAGCAAAGCAGGGAGGAGCAGGCCCCGTGAAGCCCTGAGACTTTTGCTTGCTATAAAAAGAAAAGAGCCCAGCCCTGTTTCTTTTGACCTCTGCATATTTGGGATTCTTTTTTCTTTTTAATGAAATGAGTTGGGAGTTGCTCATTATAAAGCCCTGGTGATCAAAAGCCCGGCAATTTAAACGCAGATCGTGTAAAGGGCTGCCTTGCAAACTGTACTTCAGTGAGGGATGAATGGTGGAAATGGAGCAGAGTGCGATTAAAAGGGAATAAAAGGCATTTTGCTTCTCTTTGTGTCTGCGGAGTCGATGGAGTGGATGGGGGAGAGAGAGAATGGAGTCGATTGTTATCTCGACGCCAGGCAGGAGGAACAGCCTCTGCTTAGGGAAGGTATTATTTTCCAGGCTGCCTTTCCTCCTCCCTTCCTCACGCCCTGTTATCAACATTTATTACACCCCAGAGTTTTCCCCAGCAGAAGGTTTGCTGAGCTCATTAAAATGCAATGAGCACTTATTGGATATAATGAGCACTCGCTGTATTTCAGTGCGTGCCAGGACTGTCCTGCGGAGCAATGCTCATTCAGACACCGTGGGGCGAGCTCGAGGCCGGAGAGGAGATGCTGGGGCAATGGCACTTCGAAAGCGGCCATAACGATATGGCTGAATAGCTCTTCCCTCCTCGCTGCAGGGTGGGATGCATCCCTAACCTGCCAGGCTGGGGTTATCCTCCAATTGCTCTTCTTACCCCAACACCGTCTTCACCAACCCTGAGCAAAGATGGTGAGACTCAAAGCCCATGCACCTATTCGCTGGAGAATTGCACCATTTTGGTTATTTAAAAATGAACGCAGACTGCAGGAGACCTCTGCAGCAAGCCCGCACAAATAGGACTTCCTCCGAGACAGCTCGATGCCGCTCTGCCCTGGGACGCACACTGCTTCTAATGCAAAAGGTCTTCCTTCATTCCTCCTTTCCCACAGGTGCGATGGGCCAGAGGTTTTACTGCAACAAGACAACACCGAGGGCTTTGCACGGTCCTTCTGGAAAGTCCAGTCATCCCACAAGCATTCAATGGACCGGACGGACACCCCAAGAGAGACAAGTCCACACTGACTTCAAACCTGTAATAACACCGTTCCTAACTTGAAGCCACTTGCCCTCCAAAGCTGGAGAGAAGAGGAGAAAAAAAGTTTCAGGATGATACCAGCTATTTTTTCCCCGTGTGCTCAAGCTATGGGTGGGACAGTCCTGTAAAGACTGGATTTAAGGAA